ATATGCGACCGCTGCGAATGCTTGCTCGCTAGCATCGACGAACACGTGGAGTTGCATCGTTCGTGGCCTTCCGCCTTGGAAATAAAACCTTGGAAATTCCAGATCGGTCACTGTCGAAAGGTTTTGGCGCCATAAACGCCAAGCAGTAGTGAGGTCATCGGAGAGTGGATCGTCCCAGCTCAACTTCCTCTTCCATATCTCACGTATAAGCTATTTAGCGGTTGTCGTTATGTGGCTGATGAACCCGAGAGGATCAAAGATCGACATCAAAATGCTGAGCATCTCGCGTTTAGTGGGGCGCCTTTCTCCCACGATAATTGCTTCGTTGATGTTGTGAAACTTCAACCTAAATTTGAAGCTGTCAGTCGAAGGCTGTCAAAATATACCTAAAACCTTCTCTGTCGCAGTACCACCCAGTGCTGCAAGTACCTTGTCCGAGTTGGATGTAAAATTGCGTAAGTCAAACCCGGCCTGCTTATGGATCGCTCGCACCTTCTGAGCCACCTCGGTCGCCTCTTCTTCACTGTCGAAGCTGTCGACGAAATCATCAACGTAGTGCCGCTCGAGAATTGCCTGCACTGCTCGTGGCGCCTGGGTTTGATACTCCAAGGCATTCAAGGTCTTTACGTACTGTGCAGCGCATGGGGAGCATGCCGCTCCAAACGTCATCACCTTCATCTCTAGTACGTCAGGTTCCCTTGAGTTGTCTCCGACGCGCCATAGAAATCGCTGTGCACATCGATCTTCTTCTCGAATTCGTATCTGGTAAAAAAGCTCTCTTATGTCTCCGCACACACCTATTGCTCCTTCGCGAAAGTGGAATAAGACAAAAGGAAGAGATCGGTACTCTTGGGGCCCTTTCAGTAGCTCTGAGTTTAATGACACGCCATATGACTCGGCAGCGGCGTCAAAAACCAGCCTTAGCTTTCCTGGCTTGTTGGGGTTCGTGACGGCGAAGTGCGGCAAGTACCACGTCTTGGGACAATGCAGTGAGGCCTCATCGGGTGAAATTTTGCGAGCGTAGTCTTTGTAGATATACGAGTTGATTACTTCTCTATAGGCTGACGCAAACACTAGATCTCTCTGCATACGCTTTTCGATGTGTATCAACCGTTTGAAGGCTGTTGAGTAGCTTTCGGGCAAATTAATGCAGTCGCGTTTCCATAGTAGGCCCACCTCGTATCGCCCGTCTACGCGACGCGTTGTTGAAATTAGTAGCGATCGCGCGCGTGCGTCCTCAGCTCCCTCAATTGGTGGAGATGGCTTTACTCCAAAGTTCTCCGTTTCAAAATATTCGCATACCATGTTTTCCAGTGATTGGTCAACGGTATGCCCTACGAACGAACTTGCTGTAGGCCGTGTTACTGATCCTATCGTTGGGCCGAACACGGTCCAACCCAACTCTGTGTTTGCGGCATATGGTCCGTTAGCTTGGATCCTCATAGTCTCAGTCGGGATACCCAGATGGCAGTGGTCAAGCCCTATGAGGAGTCTAGGCGAAGCTCCACTATATGGCAACAATGGCAGATGTTTCATATGCTTGATATGACCCCGTATATCGGTTTCGCTGAGGCTCTGCGATGGCAAACTCAGGTTACAGACACTGAAGACGTTACTCAGTTTATGCTTCTTCTTCATTCCCGTTCCGCTTACTAACACGCTCACAACCATAGAGGGCTATTGCGCCTTGTGACCACCAAACCACTGCACATTCAGTTTTGGTGTTCACCCTGTAAGCCAAGCTCCACAGCTAGTGATTCGTCAATCATAGACACAGACGATCCTTCGTCAAACTTTTCTTCCATTATGTAATGTGACCGGCAAGATTCGGAACAGCAGCTTGCTCGACCTAGTACGGCCAACGCAGCTTAGAACCGCAGCTGCGTTGGTGTTACGTTGCGGTCCTTGCCTTACTAAAGATTTTTCTGCAGAGGAGCGCGTAGGCGTCGACTCGTGGAGCAGTTGGTGGTGCGTTCTCTTGCATCCATGGGACGGACAAGGTCTACGAAGCCGGCAGTTGCGCGACGAGTGGCATTTACTTAGACATCCGAAGCATAATCGTAACCGTTTGACCTCTTTCCACCTCTCTGCAACACTCGCGTCGAGAAAACGTTTGCATTCTGGGAGCTTGTGATCACCTTGGCACACACAGCACGTTAGTGTGCTCGATCGCTGTTCATCTATCGCATGAAGAACTACGCGACGCTTAGCATCTCGATGTTCCTGCTCCTGTACCCTGCAAATCAGATTGGCAGTGTCACTCAGCTAGTCGCTGAAATGCATCACAGTAGGATATGGCTGCACCACCGAAGAATAACGCGCCCACTCGATCTTCCTTGACATTGGCAGCTAGCTGGTAAGTTCTGAAATCAAGAATGGATTAGCTAAATGTTGGTGACCCCCAGCGGATTGCAAAAATGCTGACAAGTTTCTGACTTTTGACGCGAACGGTATTAACTTCACAACTCCGCGCTATATCTTTCAGGAGAGCAAGCTGGCTTTGAATGAGCTGCTCAGGGCGCCCGAAACGAAAGCGTAAATGTTCGATAATAGCACTGACATGGTTCGGATATATTAGTAGGGACTTCACAGTTTCTCTAGCCTCGCCTTTGAAACACTTCTGCAAGCGCTGATTGTTTTCAAGATCAGTGTATCCATATGCAGACGTTGACTGAGTGAACGCGGTTATGAATTGTGGCCAGTCTTCGGCTAGACCACCGAACTCCGGCAAATCTTGGAGTTTTCGAGGTTGCATCACCCCAAAGGGCATACCTGGGGTAGCTGAAACTGGAGCGATGGAATGGTCATTTACTGATAACGAAGGTCTAATAAACGCGTTGGCAAGGCCAGCATGCGTAGCACTGGCAATCGCTGAAGGAGCTGCTGAGGCTCCGTAGGAACTAGCGCTGGTGGTATAGGTGCCCGCAGTGCGCGGCAGGGAGGTATAAATCTCGGCGGTATATGGTGACGTGACTATTGGTGGGCGGTGCGCTTCGGCAGCGAGCGTAGTAGCAACGATTGGTAATGCGGCGGCTGAAGCAACGGCGGTTGCAGCGGCAGGCGCCGCGGCGAAGTTAGGTGCTATGGCAGATGCAGCGGCGGTGTTTGGCGCTGCAGTAAATGGAAGAACGCAAGCGCCGGAAGTGAGTGTCGGGACTGGAGTGTGGATGGCAAATGTTGGTGTTGCAGCAGGAGCGACTGCGCCGGTGAAATAAGGTGCCACAGGCAGAGCGGCGCCATACGCGGCAGCGTAGCTCGATGGAGCAGACTGAGCGGCGAGGTTAAGCACGGTAGACAGAGCAACGCTACTTGAGGATGTGTGCTGGCTCACAGCAGGTTGAGCGGCGCCAGTCGCGGCACCAAAATTTTGCGCGGAAGGCTGAGCTGCGCCACGCGCGGCAACGTAATTGGTTATGGCGCCGGCGGCGGCGTCGAAGTTAGGCGCGGCAGTCGGAGCGGCTCTACTCGCGGCAGCGTAGTTGGTCATAGCGCCTTGAGTGGCGCCGGCAGCGGCGTCGAAGTTTGGCGCGGCAGGCAGAGCAGCGGTGCTTGGCACTGAGCGACCAACGGAGCATGTAACAGGATCTCTGACCGTTTCGCACATAACGGGAAGCGACGATGCGTGTTCATGAAGCGCCACTTTAAGTTGGCAATTTTGCGCCTCACTTTCCCTAACCTTACCTTGTACCTTTTTCAGCTCACATTCCAATGACGAAATTTGCTTCTGAAGAATAGAAATAATGTTATCTTGTGCCTCACGCTGATCTACGGGGTCAGCTTCCACCACGACAGGCTGAGGTCGTTTACTGCTTACAGCACTAGTTGTTCTTGCTGAACTGGTACTCGGGATACTTTGCTGTGCCTGGTTCGTATGGTCGGTGGTTACATCTGTATCCATCGCTGTATCAACCACTGGTCTCCGCGTGCTATTGCTTTTTCCCACGATCTGCTCCTCTTGGAAACGAAAGCTTTTCCTTCTTGGTGTACGCTCCATAACCTCACAAATATTTGTAACGAAACTGCAAACCTCTTCGTGCTCTTTTCAATAATCGCGAAATAAAGATGTAAACGCTGAACTCGGCGAAGACTCGAAAATAACACATTAATGGCGTACTTATTGATTGCGGTTTATTTCTATTAGAGAGTTAGCATTACAATTTTACACAGACAAATTACGATTTAATTTACTTACCGCGGTTGCGTCTTCTGGCGCAAATGTTCAACGAGTGAAAAAGAACAACCGCAGCTTACAAATTTGACAATCTAACGATTTGGTACATATAATAAATAATTCACAATGGACTACAATTAAACTGACGAGTACGATAGTGTTGCCTTCGAGCGGGTTGCCACACTGCTGCATAAAACTGCGGCAGCATCTCAACGGGATTGATTTGTTAACTTGCTAATGGAGGCTGCGTGGAGCAGAAGCAAAATCATTGTGAGGAAATGCTGTTAATGTAATAATAAAGAAACATTCCGGGAACGGCTTTGCCGCGCCCTATGTACACCAAATGCAGCGATTCGCCCCAGCGCTACACTTGTACCAACGCATCTTGTATCTTAATGGCTGTCGAAATTTAACACACACCACTTCACTTTATTACTACGTGATGATCATTTCCAACTTTTTTCAGTTAAAGCAACTATTTTAAGCAGTGTGCAAACCTCTTTTTAATTATAGTGTGGTTGAATCGGCAAAAAAATGTGGTAGATTTTAATAATATGTGGTAGATTTTCCAATTCATATTTTTATTGGGTATACATATCGCACACCGTCGTCAAAAGAGGCACAACTCAATAATTAGCTCGAAAAATATAAGTGCTAGTGGGTCATACAGGTTCAACGCAATTGATGCAAGAACAAGTATAACATTAGTTTTCTGGTTAGAGAATATAATCGTGAAGAAAAAAAAGGCGTGAGTACTAGGTACTCATGAAATTTGATGTGTAAACATATGCGAACGGCAAAGCATAAAAGTATGTTTACATATAAATATAATCTCAATCAAAGCTCGTTAGCTGTCAAATTGGTTGTGCTTGTTATTCACACAACTCGAGGAAAAGTTAAACTTCTTCTCTGTGCCACCATGGTCACTTCTTTCTGCAACACATATTATGCCACTTAAATATATTTTAACTGAATATTTTATTAAAAATACCTTTACAAACCAAGAACGATAGAATACAAGATTGCGCATTCCCGCAGAATGACATTTGTGGCAACGGGTAAACAAAGAATATGGCGAAGAACAATGAGTTGACAGTTGTGAATTTGCAGTGAGAAAACCAAGAACGATAGAATACAAGATAGCGCATTCCCGCAGAATGACATTTGTGGCAACGGGTAAAAAAAGAATATGGCGAAGAACAATGAGTTGACAGTTGTGAATTTGCAATGAGAAAACGTGTTTTCTTCTCGATTATACAACCACTCTTGAAATGTGTTCAAACGAATAGGTCTTATTAATTAACTATTTAGAATTTTTGTGTTTGTATTGCAGGTGCCGAAAAAGTGATAATATCTTGTCGCAGCGCATGTTTTCCTGCAGAAAGTGGTCGATGCTTGCTTACCTCCGATTTTAGTTTGTAATTTGTGGTATTTCAACGTTTTCAACTTAACATGTCGTGTTTAGAAGTGGTCCGTAAAGTGCTTCATGCATATTACGCTGGCGTCTAAATTTTATGGCTTCTCCTGCCGGCAGAACTCTACCCACTTTCTGGCCAAGGCGTCGGCGCGGGGAAACAAAAAAAAACTGCATTTAGGGCCTTTACCCCTACGGTTGCTGCAATTCAACACACGACACGACATTTTTATAAAGTTTTTATTACAAATAAAATGTTTTTTACTTCAGAACGCACGAATTACTTCGATTTTTCACTTGAAAATACACAATACGTTTGCAATACGTTTGCACTTGTTTCTAAACAAAAAGTTTGTTTACGTATTGCCATAAATGTCAAAGTCCGCAAAACCAAAATAGCGGTTTCGGGAATGCGCCACCTTCAGTTCATTACACCATGTTTACAAACCTATTTTCCTTACTAGCGTCAATTTTTGTTTACTTTAACATTTGACATTCCTCCTCTTCTTCGCAAGTATAATCGATAAAACTAGGTTGGATACCAAAAAGCTATCGGTTTAATCTGAGATATTTTTAATTATAATTTTGCATGGCTAATCTCTTTTTCTAATAACAGAATAGGGAATTAAGCTCGAAAATTATGATAATCTTTTTATATGTAAAGCTGTTATTAGGCGATTCAGTTACATACATACAAATGTAGGTTAGGTTAGAAATTAAACATTAATTTCACTTAATTTTATTCATTTTGCTGATTTAATTTTTTTATTCATTTTCATTTTTAATTCTTTTAGTACATGAAATTATCGGTATGTTTGATACATACTTGTATATATTTGTGACTCAAGGGCGTTAAAATATCTTGGGAACACCACATCAGTTATTGATTTTGAGCTTATAGTTTGAGCATTTCTATTTGTATATATTCCTAAATTTAGTTTTTCTTTTCGGAATATAATCTGTGGCTCATGTAAATGAGAGCGATTTTTGGGAGAGTTGTTCAGAGATTGAAGTTGCAGGATTTTACCAGATGTCAAGATTATCGTGCTTCATAAAAATCAAAAATTGTTTGATCGTTTGTGCGATATCGTCATCTCGAGCTTTTTATTTTATATATATTGACGCAGAATGCGAGGGGAGCTTTTACTTGATAAAAATCTTGATAAAATTTCTTGATAAATAACACTGTACAGCACTCGGATGGGTATTGGACCAAACCAACTTTTTTTAAGAGACTGAGTCATAAGTAAAAAAAGTAAGTTCTCCGTTTTTCGAAGTTAGCATCCGAAATAGAGATATGGGGCTTCGAAGTTCGGAATTGGACCTTTGGTAAAAAATTATTTTTAATTATTACATGTAAAAAAGCAAAAAAAGTATGGTATATAAATTTTTTTGTGAACACTATAACGGGTCAATGGTCAGATCTTCGAAAAACTAAAAACTTAATATTTCAGAAAATTTTGAACCGATTTTTTAAAAATTCATATCGCTAAAGGTGAGTTAACCCCCTTTCTTGTGATATGTATATTTGTATACTTCGCACACTTAAAAAAATAACTTTTTTTGTATAAAAAAATATTTAAAAAAAACCATTACTAACCGATTTGTGAAAAATTGGTATCGTTGTAAAGGCGAGGCCGTCTTTCTTATATGCATATTTGTATACTTCGTGAATAAAAATTTGAGAAAAAACACTTAAGAGAAAAAAATATTTTTTTTTTATCAAAAAAAAATGTAAACAATAAAATTACTCACCGCTTTTTAAAACATTGTCATCGTTGTTAAGGCGATCAAACCCCCTTTCGTCCAATATGCATATTTTTATACTTCCTGTAAATAAATTGGAGAAAAAACACTTAAAACGAAAAAATACCAATTTATTCTTATAAAAAATAAAAATTCACAGAAAAATTTCTAATTATTAATACAATTGAATACCGTATTTAAATAAAACAATTATTTATTAGTGTTTTAAGCATTAATTCGTTCTTGTTCACCCACAGCCCTGGTTAAAATAAGGCAAAGTATGTGTAACAGAAGTCTAAGGCATATAAAAATATAAAAACACTTTGGTTTTTGATTTTTTACTTAACAGATTATTAATGAAAATTAAAGGTTTCTATTTTAAAGGTTTTCTGTTTCATTTAAATAAAGTATTCAATTGAATTGGTTGGTTGGTAGACGCGTCGCCTGGGTATGTTCCCAGGACCCAATTAGTGCTGAAAGCACCATTTTGATACGCTTTCTCTGGGAATCCTGATTTTATCTGCTTTCATGATTCGTTGGGTTCGTCAAACCATTTGGATTTTCCGATGAATCTATTTAGGTTAGTAATGATGAATTTGGAAATTTCCCCAAGATTTTGGATGGAAAAAGTCCCGAGTGTGATCTGCCTTATTTGTGCCAATGCTGGGCGCTCGCAAAGATAGTGAATGACCGTTTCCTTACTTCCCATAAGATTACAGCTACGGCACCGAGGGTTATACGGAAGGCCGTCAGTATAGATTTCAGTGGAATTCTCCTCGACTATCCTGCCCTTACTCCAATCCCGTCTTGAAGGAAACTTCACCTGAAAGCTTTTCCTGACATCTGTCGTGATTGTTTCCCTGATTCGATAAGCTTGTCAAGAATACCACTAAGGCCGTGCTGCAGTGCCATCCAGCAGCCTGACTCTTTGAGTCTGACTGCCGCAGACGCAGCAGTTTCGCGGATGTGGAGTTCCATGGGTAGTTGATGCAGGATTACATTAAGCGCATCAGATGGACATTAAGTCGTGTAGCACCTGCACAAGCTGCTCTTTGTATACTGCCTAATTTCCTGACGTTGTATTGTTTATCTAGTGCTGGCCACCAAATTAACGCCGCATACGTTAGTATTGGTCGTATGATAGCCGTGTACATCCAGAGGACAAGCTTTACCTTCAATCCCAAGTTCCTACTGGATATTCTGTGTATGCTCTCTCAACCCGCCTCTCTATATTTGTCTTCCAGCTCAGCTTTCCATTAAGGGAGGAAAGCCTGAATTGTGGTATTTTTTTTTTATTGGTGAACAGCATCAGCTCCGTCTTGCTACGGTTGACACCCAGTCCACTTTTTGTAGCCCAGGTGTTTTGTCGGAGCAAAGTTCCCTCTAGGATTTCACTAATCGTTGAGGGGAAGAGACCTGATACCGCCACCACTACATCATCTGCATATGCTACTACTTTCACTCCACCTTTGTTGAGATCCGGTAGATTCAGTACCACCACCCATAGTAGCGGAGACAGAACTCCCTCTTGGGGAGTGCCTCTAACGGGATAGCGTTACTGAACCAATGGTTGAAATTATGATTCTGTTTCTGAGCATTTGTTCGATCCACTCGCATATGTGGTCAGATGTTCCCATCTTCACAAGTGATCGAACAATTGCTT